GAAGTACACTGCTGAGGGGAGCAGCGGGCGGGTCAGGAGAGGTCTGCCGCGCTATGTGGATCTCCGGGGCAGGCAGGGATCGAACTCATGCGGAATTGGCTTAAGCTTCTTAGTGCAGTGCTTCAACCCGCTGCGCCACCAGGGAGGGCCAATGCTGTGAACTTTTATTTTTACTTTTCTAGTTATTCATGCTTTTTGTTTGTTTTTCAATTAGGCAATTATTATAGTTTGCGTTCTCAGCATGAGAAAGCAGCCTTATATTTCCAGAGAGCCCTGAAATTGAATCCTCGATATCTTGGTGCCTGGACTCTGATGGGGCATGAGTACATGGAAATGAAGAACACATCTGCTGCTATTCAGGCTTATAGGTGAGTTTCTAGTTTGGGGGTGAGGTGGAGCTGTCAGTTTTAGGAGCCTGCATATCACTGACCTTGAATCTGCCCTCTTACCAGTCTCTCTTTCATTTCTTAGACATGCCATTGAGGTCAATAAACGTGACTACAGAGCTTGGTATGGCCTTGGGCAGACATATGAAATCCTTAAGATGCCATTTTATTGCCTTTATTATTATAGGCGGGCCCACCAGCTTCGGTAAGTCAGGACACTTGACAATGTGTTTGTTGTGGGAAAAACTATATTCTTTCAGTAGCTAAATCATAACTAATTTTGATTCTTGGAGCCTGAGTTAAAACTACTCATGCCTTTTAGTCATTTTTGTGTAATATATTCTAATGTATTAATAGTATAATTGTGAACACAAAACATTATAATTGAAATATTGAGTTCAAGACCAGCTCTTGCATAGATTTGAAATGTCAGTGATCATGGTTCCTTCCTTGAGGACTTTATTTATTTATTTATGCACACAGAACTGGGGTACAAGGCAGAGGTGCAGGGGTGGTGAGAGGATTCACCAGAGACAGAGTGGGGAACAGAACAGGCAGATCTACAAAGTCCACTGCTGAGGGGAACAGCAAGCAAGACAAGAGATCTGCTGTGCCATGTGGATCACCTCCAGGGTTGGGGATTGAACTTGCACTGAAGCAGCTGTGGCTATCTTGCAGTGTTAGCCTTGTGCTAACACTGTACCCCTTGTGCCACCAGGGTAGGCCAGAGGGCTTTAGTTATTTTTAATCTACCTATTCCTTTTCTCCCGCAGGCCGAATGATTCTCGTATGCTGGTTGCACTAGGGGAATGTTATGAGAAACTCAATCAGTTAGTGGAAGCCAAAAAGGTACCTCAAATTGGGGATTTGGGTGAAAGTCTGCTGTTTGGATTAGGAGTTAGGCAATTTGTGTTCTAAATTTTCCTTCATTCTTATTTGTTGACATAGGAAATTCTGAATGTTCATAGAAGCATGGGCTAAAAAAGCAATGCTGGGCTTATATCATCAGTGGGAATATTAATATGTAGCCTGAACCTGTCCAAGCTAGTAAAGTTGCCAGGTATCCTGCAAGGTTTAACTTCTGGGAGGCATGCAGGTTGTGAGCCTTTATGTGATTTGTCATGGCACATGGGGTGATG